TTGTTCCAGATTTCTCCAGTTATTAGAAGCCAGGAACCTTGAAGCGCAGTCCTCATGTTATCTACCATCCACGGTTGAAGGTATTATGCCAATGCCAATGTATCTTCTTCACCCTGTAACACGTGTAAGCTCTAATTTATATACAGCACATGAATTACACGTTCTAAACCTTACAAAGGTCGTTACTAGTGCGTCTGTGTGCTGTTCTTCATGTAAAGTGTTAGAATGTACTTAGAACACGTGTGAGTCTTATACAGATTAAGTTTTGTTTACTATAGCTAGTACGATTCAGAAAAACAGCCGCTTATATACATATATAAGATCATTTACCTCGTAATAGCTCTATCTTACCGTATTATAATCGATTCTGGTAGTTTAACTCCTACATGATTTAATCTGCGAATTTAAACATTAACAGCTCAAATCAAGTAGATTTAATCGGATTTGATTTTATAATGACTAGACAAAATTTTCAAGGTCAAACCAGTAGGAAGGCTGCTTTTGCTATTGCGATTACAATACAATAGCTTGCCTGTGGATTGTCCTCAATTGTATGTGTGAGTATATATAGATAATTTTCATCCGCGGCGTTCGATGTTTTAAAATGAGTTTTTCCCGTGGTGATAACACTGCTACTAAAGAAGGTAAACTTCCTATCCTGAGTGTCAACTTTTTGAATTCAAGCTCTAGTCTTAATAAGGCACAAACCCATCGATATACCCATGAGATTAAACACATGACATCCATCATACACTACGCAACGCAGACACGACAGATAACGTTTATAAACCATAATATATACCTGCCTGCGTGAAAGTCAGTATACGTAAAAGCGAAGGAGCTGTCTAAGGCGACATAGATAGTATAAAGAGTGCTTCAGTACCTCATAAACGGCGCTGCTTTAAAACCAGCTGGCGGATAGGTGCAACATTTATCTCAAAATAGTCTAAGCGAAGCCCCAGGAACGAAACCAAGAGAGAGCTCCACCAGTAAGCGATGACCAAAGATGAACCATCGAACTATCAATATACTCATGTCTTCATTCGTTCTTCTGTCAGGACAAGAGTGTGACGATACCAAAAATTATTTTATAAGAGAGATGTAACACTGTCTCTTGTGCGACGCTTTAAGGCCGGTGCTCATGCATCGTAATATTTCGCAGTCTCAGCAGCTCACTATTCCACCGTGATATATCTCAGCTGATGTGTCTATCTGTGGTTGATCGGTGAGGCTCTACCACTAGTTCAAAGTGTTTCTGCTTGTTCTAGTTTGTCTGTTTTATATCTAGGTTTCTTCTTCAATAACAGCATGATAGTTACATTTATGTAACTGATGAGATCCCATTTAGAGAAAAACAGACCATATACATGACCTTTTAAGGCGCGGGGCGTCAAACAGTGCTGACGTACAGATATGGACCAGAACTTCTGCTGTTGACTGTTGACACATAAGAGAAATAACAGAATGAGCCACCCTTGTTCTTTTGGACAAGCTCTCTTGTCCCCAACCCTCAATCTTCAGTGACCTCCGACCCGTGGTGGTACTCCTCGTCTCAGGTAAGGAGAGACTGAATGCCTCTGGAAGGCAAGGTCACACGTTTTACACACACACACACCACAACACACACACACACACACTTGACTAATCCAGTAAAAGCTGGTTGCACACACGTTGGACGTCGGAAGTTAGAATATAAGCAGATGTGATGAAGGCAATGAGGGAGAAGTCCGTACCAGCTGCAGACTCAGTTTTTCAAAAGGGAACTGGATGAAAAAGAGGAAAGAGCTGAAGTCAGAACCACCATGCCAGAGAGACAGACGGGCAAAGGAAAGTGAGACAACACTGACTCACAGAGCTGCCGTTCCTCTCAGAGGTCCCAGCAGCAATCGGCTCCAAGAGAACGTACAGTCTGAACCTTCTCTGCACCGGATGGACTCTGCTCCCTGCTGACACAACAAACATTATTATTATTCATTGGAGCTCACACACAACTGCTCACACACACACTTCTCACACACACAACACACACTGTCTCACAACACAACACACTGTCTCACCCCTCTGCAGGTGTGTGTTGGACGACACACTGCGTCTCTGTGGCAGCAAGCAGGTCGTTGAGACTCTGGTCTGGGCTAAGGTCAGCTCGTCACATTCTCTTCGTCGGTACGTTCACTATGTGTCTCGCATCTTACAGCCTGAACACACACACACACACACACACACACACACCACACACTAATACTTAACTTTCCTGCAGACTGAACATCAGACAGATTTCTGAGCCCTCAAACGTTAGAAAGGCAGGAGTAGGATTTAGTGTTTTTATTCTAAATATTAGTTTATTTTGCATTTATATATTAATATTATAGATATATAGATAGTTAATAGTTATGAATAGATTGTCATTTGTTAAAATTCTTGTTTCAGTGTTTTTTTGTTTTATTTGTGAATAAAACAACAAACCTTCTGTTGTGTTGATTATAATGAATGTAAAGTAAACTTTTTTTAAGGTTTGTAGGTGTTAAAGCTGTTTACAACTCACACGCTCAACTCCCAGCTGGAAACTAACTGGGCCAATAAAAATAACAGTAATGGCATCATCACCAACAGGGATATAAAGTTGTGTGGTGTGTGTGTGTTGGTGTGGTTGTTGTGTGTGTTGTGTGTGTGTGTCCATACATCTTGGGCATACCACTGGGGTCAAGCGGAGAACCCTCGTGGTTGCAGGCAGGGGTAGATTCCTCACCATGCCAGCCTTTCTAAATGTATCATGCCAGGGTACAGCACACTGTGTGGGTGGTAACTGCAGTGGGTCAAGCTCTGCACACACAAACACCTGAACACACACACACCACACACACAAACACACCACCACAACCAACACAGACCACACAGACACACAGACACACCACACCACACAACACAACCACACACTCCTTTTAAGTGAGTTTGAAGGTTAATATTCTGTGTAAATCAGTGCTCAGTTACTTGTGCATCCACAACACACACCCACACACACCCTGTTGCAGCGGGAGCAGGTGGGAAGTTGATGGTAACCCCAGATTCTCCAGTAGACAGGACCCAGGACTTTAGCTTCCTATACAGACGGTGAGGTATTATGCACATCCCAGTTCTTCTGTCTGTAAACGTGTGAATGAGCACAGAATCATCTTAACACCTTACAAAGGTCAAAGGGTCTTTCTGTTCTTCATAGTAAAGGATGAACCACTGTGAGTACACTTAATGTACAAGTATAGCTCCATACATATATAGTCTATTATCTATATCTATATAGATATAGATATAGATATACACAGTAGGATGCTGCTTCTTCACGTTGAATAGCTGCTGTGATACCTGATGTGTGAGTAGATGATTTCTCCGCGAGCGTCGATGTTGATTTTCCCGGGAACACAAGAGATCTTCCTCTCTGTGTCTTTGATCAGCAGCTTAAGGCACAGACCACACCTGAGATTAAACACACACACACACACACACACACGACAGATAGTGAAAACCAAACTGCGGACAGTACGAAGAGAACACAAGAATAAAAGTCTCAGACACAAACGCTGCATTTAAAGCTGCAGGAGGTGACATTTATAAAAGTAGGAGCCCCAGGAGGAACCAGAGGAACCAGAGGAACCAGAGGAACCTGATTTAATCACAGATTATCTGTCTCATGTTCTTCTGTCAGGACAAAGTGTGACGAAAAAATATTTTTATAAAAGTTACCTCCTGCAGCTTTAAGGCCGGGCTGCTGCACGACTTTGCAGTTTAGTCCTTTTCCCTGATATCAGTGTGTCTACTCTGGGTGAGGAGGCTACACAGTTCAATGTTTCTGTTGTTTTGTCTGTTTTAATTGAGTTTATTGTTGTTAATTTATACTTTTCTCAGATTCTCTTTGCTGTTTTTGTGCCTCTGGAGGAATCAGGAGCGTTGGGCCGGTGGCCTCACCTGTAGAGAGTGGAGGCGTTTCCTGGTGAATCTCTGCTCTGGTAGTTTGGATCGAAGAGACGCTCAATCTTCTTCTGGAACAATTTGCTTTAGGAGGAAAATAAAACAAAGATTTACATTTCCAGCATTTTTAAAACTCTCACTAATAAAAGCGTAATCGCAGACGTCCTTTAAGACTCCGCCAACCTCGTTTACCTTTTGAACTTGTCCTTCTTGTCGCGGATGTCGTCGGCCTCGTTGTGGCTGAAGAGTTCGGCGATGCGTGTCGCCAGGTTGCTGTTGATGCAGTTCATGTTGCAGGGCGTGGCCACGATGGCGCTCATGTGTTTGTGGCAGTACTGGACGCACTCCTCCACCTGAACACGGACAAACACGAAGCGCTCTTATACGCCCGTTCACGGCGGCGGGACAGTCACAGTTCTCCTACACCAATACTAACCAAACACTACTTTATGGTACAATGTGAGTAACACTGGTACACACTCATGCAACAACTTAACGGAGCTCTACGATGGGCCTCTTGTTTTCCTCGGACAGATCACCAATTATCAGGCTGATGTAAACTTTTTTGAGAGACATTATTGGGATTATGTTGCTGCCGGGGCCGCATACCAATCTGAAAAACAACAGGCCCGAAGCACATCACCACACTTAGCGTCACACGTCACAACACTTACTAACGTATCCATCTTCAAGAACTCGGAGGAGATCAGGATTGAGATCACATTGCTGGGCTCTGTAACCGACAAACACCACATGACCAACCAAGCAAACCCCACAACCAACAACCAAACAACACAGAACACGCAGCCAGTGACCCACCAAACACACGCCGCCTTCAGTGACCGGCAGAATCCGTCCACGAGTTTACACAAACAGGTAGTGACAGCCATGTGTAATAATGGTGTGTCTGTTATGGTTTGATCTCCAGGGATTTACCGAGTCGGGGTTTGTCCTTGTTCCCGTCTCCCGCGGAGTTCCTCCTCACGTAGTTCATGAGCCAGTCGAAGATCTGCACGTCGCAGTGGACGGAGATGTCCACCTCCTCCCACCGCTGGGCGTCCACAGACAAGTACTCGGCGAAGTAACGCATCTCTTTCACCAGCAGATCTCTGGGACACGTGAAGTCCTGCTTCAGGTTCTTGGTCTCGTCGCACACGTGGATCACCATGTTGGGGCTGAAGGAGAGAACAGTGACTCGCTGTTCTACGTTCATGTGAAACACACCGAGGCTGTCGTACTTACTCTCGTGGTTTCTGCGGTTTGTCGTTCTCCTCTGCAGAGACTCTTCTCTCTTTCTTCTCCACAGCACCGACTCTTCCGGACGCCGTCGATTTGGAGCCTGCAGGCGGCAGCAGAGCGACTGTGAATACACTATAAACCTTTTATATATTATAACAAAGTTCTGCTCTAAAACAGTGGGCTGGTCCAGTAGTGCCACATCCACTAACTCACTAGTTGTTTTAACTCTTCTAATGCAGGACGAGACTGATCATAAATAACGAGCTGAACTTTAGAAAATAACATCTTTCAGTGTTTTTCACAGAAATTAACAAAATACTGACACACTAAGTATATTATTTAAGTTGATTTAAGTTAATTTAAGTAATTTAAGTGTTTGCTAAAGGTCTGACGCTGCTGCAAACGAAGGCTGCGTGATAATAAACACATCATATTGTCATTAATTTGACTGATATTGTGATATGAATGTTAATTTTTAGAGGTTGGTACTAAACTAACATGTTTATTTAAATCTGTAGAACAGGATTTAACTCCAGTCCTTTATGAAACTGTTTGGTCACATTTTACCTTCATTAAAATAAATAAAATCTAGTTGATGTATAACGTCTCCTGGCAGCCTGCAATCACACATAAAGACACTTTACAACATTTATTAACTAACATCACTTTTTAAAGCCTGTTGAAGAAACGTTTTTAAGACTAACTAAAGAGGATTTACAGATGCAGACAGATGTGCAGAGTTTAAACCTGGCACTAACTGACCTGTAACTTTGCCGCCGCTCTGGCCGCCTCCCGTCTCCGCCACCTCCCCGGCGTCCAGCAGCGTGGACAGGCCGTCTGAGGGCGAGCTGCTGCCCTCCGTCAGGGCGTTGCACTGGTGGTCCACGTGAGGAAACCCCCCCGTGCTCTTCAGCTCCTCGAACCGCCGGGCGCACTGCAAGTTATCACGTTATTACACATGAAGGACACATGAAGGACACATGAAGGGGACATGAAATGA